AACAGAGTTAAATCTCTTCGATTCGGGATTCTAAACCGGTGACTTGGAACACCATAAACTATCCCAAGTGGCGACTCTGATCTTAAATAATAATTCCGTTTCGATTGTCACTTAAATTGGAAAAACTCCCTTGATACCCCTTTCTGGAGGTAGTAAAAAGGAGGTGTGACACACAATACACACACATACACTGTTGTACATATATGAATACATCTATGTATTCAATACTCCCCCTCAAGCTGGAGGGTGAAAATGATCAAACACTCCAAGCTTGGATAAAAGGAAATGATGTTGTGTTGAACCAAGACCTTTTGTCATTAAATCAGCTAGTCGTAGGCTTGTAGGGATGTAGTGAGGACTGATCAATCCTGCCTTGATCTTTTCACGAACGAAAATGACAATCGATCTCGATGTGTTTGGTTCGCTCGTGGAATATTGGATTAGCAGCTATTTGTAAAGCTGTCTTGCTATCACAGTACAGATTGACTGGAACATCAACTGCAACTTGTAGCTCCTTGAGCAATCGTAGAACCCAAGTAATTTCTGTAGCTGCTGCTGCAAGACTGCGATACTCAGCCTCTACTGAACTCCTGCTAACTGTAGGTTGCTTCTTTGACTTCCATGAGAGCAGTGAATCCCCAAGTTGACAATGTAACAAGTTACTGATCTACTGGTGTTTGGACACGTTGCCCAATCTGAGTCACAATATACAGAAATGTGACTTATGTGAGAGTTATGCAGAAGAATACCAAGGCCTGGGGCACCTTTAACATATCTGACCACTGTAGAGCTGCATCCCAATGGGACTGTTTGGGATGCTACATAAATTGACCTAATACCTATACTGCAAAACATAAATCTAGCCTGGTAATTGTTAGGTAAAGAAGCTTTCCAATGAGTCTTTGGTAGCTTCCTACATCCTGCAAATTCTGCATCTCCGGTATGCCCAACATGTGTGTCATAATCAATGGTTGTCAACTTCTGATTGAGCTCTATAGGTGTGTTAATAGGTTTAGCAGCTACAAGTCCAACATCTGATATTAATTGAAGTGCATACTTCATTTGAGTAAGGAGCACTCCTTTGTTTGACATTGACCTCAGAACTTCAATCCCAAGAAAATACCTAAGTTCTCCTAGATCTTTCACCTTGAATGAACTATGTAATGTCTGTTTGGCTGCCTCTACAAGAACAGGATTGCTTCCAGTGATGAGCAAGTCGTCTACACAGACCAGGATAATGACAATATCTGAGCCTGCTCTTTTTGTGAACAATGAGTGATCATGGGGACTTTGTGTATAACCAACTACTAATAATGCCTCGGTTAATTTAATATTCCACTGTCGTGAAGCCTGCTTTAACCCATACAAAGATTTCAGCAGACCTTCTGCTCCCCCTGCTTGTGGAGCCCTTGAGGCAAGCACATGCAGACTTCTTCATAAAGATCACCTTACAGGAAAGCATTATTTACATCCATTTGGAATAGGTTCCATCCTTAGAGGCTGTTATACTGATTATGGTCCTGATAGTGGCCATCTTTGCAACATGAGAGAATGTCTCATAATAGTCCAATCTTTCCTGCTGTGTGTACCCTTTTGCTACCAGCCTTGCTTCAAACCTTTCTACTTCCCCATTTGCCTTATATTTAATTTTGAACGCCCATTTGAGCCTATAGCTTTCTTCTCGGGAGGAAGATCTACCACTTCCCAGGTTGTATTATCTTCAATTGCTTTAATTTCTGCTTCCATTGCTTCTACCCAGGCTTTGTCAAGACAAGTTTCCTTGAAGAACTTAGGTTCAGTAGGTTCTGAGAATGATCCTAGAAAGGATTTGTAGTTCTCGGAAAGGTGATCATAAATGATGAAATTTGAGATAGTGTAAGGTGTATCCTTGATTGATTGAACTGTAGTCATAAAATCTTTGAGCCAAATAGAAGGTTTGGAAGTTCTGCCGGACTTTCTAGTATTCACTGCAGGTATAGGATGTTCTTGATGTGATGGTTCTTCAGCTAGTTTCCTATGAGTAAGCTGCTAGCTCTGCTTGGTTTGCATATGGTACTTTAGCATGGTTTGTATCTGGTTCCTGTAAGACAGGTAGTGCAGGAGGTTCTACTTGTGGCTCCAGTGTGGCTGATGATGGAGCTGCTGGTGTTGATACGGGTGATTCTGACACAGCTTGTTCAGAAATATGAATTGCGGGAGCATTGCTATTGCTATGATCAGGTTGAGGTGTCTCTTCAGGAGTAACCCCCACTGGCTCACAAGGAAACAGATCTTCATTTGCATTTGTTTCTTCCTTAAATGAAAAAAGATGTTCTCTGAATGTGACATCTCTACTCACTATCACTCTTCTAGAGTCTAAGTCATATAACCTGTACCCTTTTTGAGTCTCTGAGTATCCTACAAGGACACATTTCTTTGCTCTAGCTGTAAATTTATCTTCTCTTGGTAGGTTGATTGCAAAACACAAACAACCAAATACTCGATGGTCTAGCTTGGCAGGTTTGTTGTGCAACATCTCATAAGGACACTTCCTTTCCAAGGTCTCAATAGGCAATATGTTAATCAAATATACAGCAGTTTTGATGTAGTCTCCCCATAATCTAATTGGTATTGAACTCTGGAATTCCAGAGCCCTTGTAACTTGTCAAATGTGTCTATGTTTTCTTTCCACAGTTCCATTTTGCTGTGGCGCATATGAGCAGCTGCTTTGGTGTATGATTCCAAGGGAAGCCAATAATTCATTACATTGAGAGTTAAAGAATTCGGTACCATTATTCGTTCTCAGCACCTTAATTCCAACATCAAACCGATTTCTTATCATTGTGAAAAAGTTCCTTACTACAATAGCTACTTCACATATAGCCTGAATCAAGCATACCCAAGTGTACCTACTATAGTCATCCACAATAGTGACAAAGTAATGCTTTCTATCATAAGTAGGAACTTTGTGAGGCCCCCACACATATAGATGGACTAATTGAAAACAACTAGTAGATTTACTAATGCTAATAGGAAATTTCTACCTACATTGCTAGCCAAAGGACAAACTTTAATGTTTTGTTGAATCTGAGAATCAACTTTATTCATAAGAGCTGGTATATTCTCCATTGCCTTTATTGATGCATGTCCTAGTCTCAGATGCCAAAGTTCACTGTTAATTTCTTGCTGCGCAAAAAATCCTACTGCTGCTAGTGTTATGTTCTCTTTTAGTGGATACAACCCATTATGCTTTTTACCAATCCCATCAGCCTACCACTGTAAAGATCCTGAAATATACCAAAATCAGAGAAAAAAGTGACAAAACACCACAGATCTTTGGTGAGTTTAGACATTGATACTTGGTTGAACTTAAAATCTGGCACATACAACACATTCTTCACTGTCTTATTTTCTAATATAGTTGTATTTTCTGTGTGAGTGATTTTTGACTTGTTTCCTGTAGGCACCTGCGCTCCTTGTATTCCTTGGCTACCACATTTTTAATGTCCTTTAGAACATCCTTACAGTAGGTGACATGATGAGTTGCTCCAGAATCTATCACCCAATCACACATATCTGCACTAGACAGTAGAGAAATTATACCTGTCATATTTGCAGAACATTCCCCTGCATTAGGTTTTGACAGCAGATTGACCAATTGCTTGTACTGCTCTTCTGTAAAGAATTGGCCTGGTGCTTGAATTGTTGGCATTGCTCTTTCTTCCTTTGCAATTGTTGTGTTTGCATTTGCATTAGCATTATTAGCGTATGTCTTTTCTCAAGTTGTCTGATTCTTCCTTTTGCTTTTGAAATCAGGTGGATATCCAATTATCTTAAAGCAATTCTCCTTCAGATGTCCTTTATACCCACAATATTCACATATTAAGCCGGGTTTCCGAGTTCTAAAGTCTTGACCTTTTCCTGCTAACATTCTAAGTGGATCTCTGTGGGTATCTGTGACACCTAAGGTCCTCTAACTAATTATAGCATAAGCCTCATTAACAGTCACAACTGGCCTTTTGCCAACACATTACTGCGTATATTGCTATAACTTTTATTTAATCCCATAAGAAATTGCAACAACCTTATGTTTTTCAAATGATCTACAGAAGGTCTTAGATTCCTCACAATCATAAGAGGGCAAAAGGGCTAATACATCAAGTTCACCCCATAAATCCTTCATTTTTGAGTAATAGCTGGTGACAGAATCCATACCTTGCATTAGGGTCGCAATTGCACTCCACATATGATAAATTCTGGTGAGAATTGGATCTGTCAAATCTTCCTGAAAATCGCTCCAAACTTTCTTCGCATTTGACGCGTACACAATACTCTACATCAGTTCACTTGATATGGTGCTTCCAATCCATGACAACACAATAGAATTGCATTTTTCCCATTGCTCTGCCAATTCTCCTTTGTAATTGCTTTTCACACAAGTATCGTTTATAAAACCAAGCTTACTCTTTCCTCGTAGTACTAACTTCATCGCTCTACTCCAAAGGGCATAATTTTCTGGCCCTGTGAGTTTGAGCGGTATCAATATGAGTCCTGGAGCATCTCCAGCTTGTAAAAATAGCAGATGATTGCAGTCAAGCAAAGCAACATCATTTTCAGCCATGGCTGCTCAAAAAACGAGCTTTGTTACTGATTTCCGACAGAGCTTAGATATGAGCTATAAATCCTAAGATCGGTGCTCTGATACCATGATAGAATCCATCAGATTTTCTACTGTAAATGACATGCAAAATGAGGGAAGTGAAATTAAGAGAGAAAGGAAGAAGAAGAAGCGGTACTGTTCGATTGATTTCAATTACAGAGGGAAGGGGTTGTCTATATTGTTGGTTAGTAGTTGACAACTGTACCTCCTAACCACTTAACCGACTATCCTCTTCTAAATACACAATACAGTAATACACACACATACACTTCTATGCATATATGAATACAACTATATATTCAATATTACGATACTCTGCCTCAGCAGAACTCCTGGAAATGGTACTTTGCTTCTTGGACTTCTATGAAATGAGGGAATCACCAAACTGTACCAAGTAACCAGTGACTGATTTCCTGGTATTAGGACATGCTATCCAACCAGCATCACAATAAGCCTTCAAGTGTGTAGATACAGTAGCCGACATAAGAATCCCAAGACCTGTACTTTGTTTGATGTACCTAACCACCCTAAGAACAGCCTCCATGTGAGAATTCTTGGGGGCTTGCATGAACTGACTTAAGCACTGCATAGCAAAAGAGATGCCTGGCCTTGTAATCGTCAAATAAAGAAGTCTGCCAACCAGTCTTTGATAGGTACCAGGATCTTCAAGCAAACAATCATCCTTAAGACCAAGATGAGCATCATAAGTCACTGAGGTAAGTTTCTGATTTAGCTCAACAGGAGCATGAACTGGTTTAGATCCTCCCAGGCCAATATCTGAGATGAGCTCAAGAGCATACTTTCTCTGGTATAACAGGATCCCTTCTTTGTTTCTAGCAAATTCAATGCCCAAAAAATACCTCAACTCCCCTAGGTAAAGTTTTGATGCAAAATTTGTTTAGTAGCAGAAATAAGATCTGCATCATCCCCAGTGATCAGAAGGTCATCAACATAGACCAAAATAATTACAATATGAGAGTCTTGTCTCTTAGTGAACAGGGAATAGCCAAAATGGCTCTGCTTGAATCCTGAATTAAGAATTGTTGTGGTTAGTTTAATGTTCCATTGCCTCGAAGCTTGCTTAATTCCACAGAGTGACTTAAGTAACCTGCACACATGTGTCTTCCCTTGTTGATGAGAGAAGCCTTGAGGTAAAGTCATGTACACTTCTTCCTCCAAGTCTCCTTGCAAAAAGGCATTGTAAACATCCATTTGATAGAGAGTCCAACATTTGGTTGCTGCTATGGCTACAAAAGACCTGGCAGTAACCATCTTTACTACAGGTGAAAACGTTTCTTGATAATCCAGTCCCTCCTTTTGACTGTACCCTTTAGCCACTAATCGAGCCATATATTTTTCAACTTCCCTACTGGATGTGTACTTGATTTTGTACACCCATTTGCATCTAATTGCCCTTTTGTTTGGAGGCAATGGCACTACCTCCCATGTTTTATTGTCCTCTAATGCTTGTATCTCTACTTTCATAGCATCAATCCACTTCGCATCCTTAGCTGCTTCATGATAAGAACTTGGATCAATCTCAGTAGACAACTGAGTGATGTAGGCTGATAATCCTTTATACTGAACAAAATCACCAATAGAATATTGACAATGAACTGCAGTGGAAGAATTGGACTTCTGTTGTGGTCCAATGTAATTCTTAAGACAAATAGGAGGCTTAGTAGTTCTGCCTGATCTTCTCAACTCCCCAGTATTATTTGTATGTCCTTCATGATTTTTAACAATTGCTTCTTCTACACGTGGCAATATAAAAGTAGCTGGTGATGAGTTAGTGCTTCTAGGATCAGATTCAACAATTGTAGGAGATGCAGGTGGAACTAAGTTATCCCTTTCTCTACCACTGGAAGGTAGAACAATAGGAGGTTGATCAGAAGGATAGTCAAACCTCTGAAACTCGTTTATAGAAAAGGAAGAATCTTGAGTGAAGCCTTGAAATGGATATACATCTACATCTATGATAATAAAGAGTGTCCTGTGTTCAATGTCATACAGTCTATATCCCTTTTGTGTACTTGCATACCCCATAAACACTGACCTTATAGACTTGGGTGCATATTCATCACCCCTTGGTAGATTAGTTGCAAAACATAGGCACCCTATAATCCTCATATGTAACAATGAAGGTTGACTCCCATACACGACCTCAAAAGGTGATTTGTTTCCTAGGATTGTAGAGGGAATCTTGTTTTTTTGTACATAACTGCATCACAGTCACCCCAAAACCTCACTGGCAAGTGCCCCTGAAATCTGATAGCCCTTGTAGTTTCCAGAATGTGCCTGTGCCTCTTTTCCACCACTCTATTTTGTTGAGGAGTGTGTGGACAGGAGCTCTGATGTATAATCCCATGCATTTGAAACAAATCAGAACAATTATGATTAAAGAACTCAGAACCATTGTCTGATCTAAAACACTTGATCATTCTACCAAATTTAGTTTTCACCATAACAATAAAATTTTTGAGAACTGTAGTGACATCAGACTTAAGATGTAACAGGAAGATTCAAATCCATCTAGAATGATCATTAACCATTGTGAGAAAGTATCTCTTTCCGTTATATGTAGGAACTTTATAGGGTCCCTAAACATCCATATGTACCAAATAAAAAACATTATCTGCTGTACTGCTACTAACTGGAGAAGGATTCCTAGCTTGCCTGGCTAATGGACATATACCACATGGGCTTATTTATGCTTTACTACTGCTATTAAGAGTAGGAATCTTCTTGAGAACTTGAACTGGAAATGTCCCATCCTCTTGTGTCATAGTTCAGCTTCATTCCTGTGTGCAACCATTACGAAAGATCTAGTTGTATTCTTGTTTCTTCTTTGTGAATGTAGCACGTATAGGCCTTCTTCCTCTTAGCCAATCTCTTTCACCCTCCCGGTGAAGAGATCCTGAAAGATGCAAAAATTTAGGATGAATGCAGCACAACAGTTCAAAGCTTTTGTCAGTTGAGAGACAGACAAAAGATTAAACTTGAAAGCTGGTACATATAAGACATTATTAATGGTATCAACTCCATCTAGTTGACAACTACCAACATGTGACACCTTAGTAGACTCTCCAGAAGGCAACTGCACATTTCCTGCATTACCTACTAATAATTTTTCATGTAAAAGTTGTTTATTACTAACCATATGATTTGTGGCTCCAGTATTTACTATCCACTTTTCATCAGTCTTTGGTTCATAAGAAACATTACCTGCCATGTGTGCACTGGCAGAAGATTCAGAGATTGATACCTTGTTCAATAGACTTAAGATCTGACTATACTATTCAGGAGTGAAATTTGCATAGGCCCTAAGTTTTGTTGTCCCTGATGAGTGTGCTGCTCAGAGATGAAACCCTGCATAGGTCCCAAATTGTGCTACTCTTGTGTCATCATGGCTGATGAAAACGAGATCGGCTGATTCTTTGAACTTCCAACCATGTTAGCTCTTTTCTGAGGCTTAAAATTTGCTGGATAGCCTATCAATTTATAGTAGTTGGGCCTCAAATGCCCCTTCTTATGTAGTAATCACATTTCATCAACTTATAACACTCTTCCTTCGTGTGGCCTTTCAAATGACAGAAATCACATTCAATATTGAAGTTTCTCCTTTACTTTTGGCCAGGTTTAGAACTAAATATAGGATCTAAGGACTCAGCACAGTAACTACCTCCTGCCATTAATTTTTGACTCTCATCCTGAAGGATCATAGCATAAGCTTGATTAACCGTAGGAATTTTAGACTTCATTAAGATTTGGCTACGAGCTTGACTATAACCATCATTTAATCCCATTAGGAATTGCCATAAACGTTGATACTCCTGTCGTTCAATGAATTTCTTTGATTTATCACAGCAAACAGGAGGAGGCATAATCGAGTCATATTCGTCCCACAAATCCTTCAATTTTGAGTAATAAACTGAAACAGAGGATGTACCTTGTGTCATTGTAAAAATCTCCCTGTGTGGGTAGTACATTCGTGATGCATTGATCTTATCAAACCGTTCTCGAAGATCCGACCATATTGCATGTGCACTTGACCGGAACAATACTCCACTCAGCAAACCGCGACTCACATTGTGCATAATCCACGATTTCACAATAGCATTGCAGCGATCCCGTAGATTTATATATTTATCTCCATAGGTATCGCGTGTTATTGAACCGTCTATAAACCCTAACTTGTTCCGTGTAAGCAACGAAACTTCCATCACCTGACTCCAGATTGTGTAATTTTTCATGGAGGGAGATCTTTCATATCTTTCGAGATCCACCCTACATTTCCTAGCAGTTGAAAACCAAGAGATAATGCTCCTGGTGTGTCAGATGGATGCAAATACAATGGATGATTATGATCTATCACAATCGTAGATTGATCTGTGACTTTGTCTCCGGCCATGATTATTTAGGGTTTCGGCGAGTGACTCATAATTCCTACTGAAATTTTTTGAGAGATGAATGACGAATCGATAGTTTTCAACAATTCTCAGTGAAAACCTCTAGATGCAATCGTTTAAATGCTCTGATACCATGTCAATATTGTGAATTTGCACGAGAGAAATGAGATGAAGAACAGAAGATGAGCAGAGCAGAGAGAGAGAGTTGAGAGAAAAGGATCTCATTTTCTGTTATCTTCCAAAACACTATACACCTACAATGATATCACTAAAATAACCGACTAACTACAATCTAACTACAATATTAACACCTATCTATAGTTACTACTAATCTAACCATGGTTAAATTAAGCCTATACAATATTAACCTGGGTCATGACATGTATCACATATCTCATTACTATGCATGGAGATTAGTGAATGATTTGGCTCTACATAATTATTGGCGGTAAATGCATCAGCTGTATTCTGGTCTTGCAATGTTCACATATAAAGGCGACTAATTGATTGCATACAATTTTGAATACTTATGACTTCCTATAATGTGCAATTATTTATCATCTCAAGAATATTATTATATTTTCCTTTATCCATTATGTATTTAAAATTCAGTGATTCGATTGATCTAGATCATAAAAGAAGCAGTACAATCAAAAATTTATTTGTACTCGTTATTTATGTTAAATTAATGAATGCAACATGCATACATCACATTTTGTCGCGGCCACTCTTCCCCCATCATTCACTTCCTCCTCCTCTTTCTCTACCAACACTACTACCACTTACCATCCACTAAGCAGCCCCTTAAATAGTTGAACTTGATTTTAAAATCGTTACCAAATATGATATAAGGAAAAAAATTACTAGAATTAGAATACATATTAATTTTAATTGCTAAAGTTACATTATTTAATTTTATATAAATATTAAGTGCGACTTACGAGTAAGTGTTTATCGGATAAATACTTCCTATTAAAAGTTTTTCAATTTCCAATGCTTGAATGGAGAATTTTAATCAAAGGTAGATAAGTTTATTCTCTCTCCACGCTCCTTGAAATTTGAATCCGCTAAAATTATCATTATCCAAACAAAATACGCTCTCTTTTCTGCGTGGCTAAAAATGAATTGAAAAGAGTTTTCTTCTTTATTAGCGATTGAAGTTTGACAATTGAGACAATCACTTGAGAAATAATATATATTTGAAACTTAATTTACGAGAAATGATGAAAGACCAAAATACCCCGGACATAATTTGGTTTAGAGTTCAATCAGAAGGGCAGTGAGAGTCATTTGGTTGAAAGCCACCGCTGGCGTTGAGCTAACGCCTTTATTTGAATTGAATTCACACAATAATCAAATTCTAGGGTTTATTCATTCTCGCGCTCTGCAACCTAAAACCCTCCCATTTTCAAATCTCAGGCCACCACCGGCAGTCTCTCCGCGTTATTCAGGTAGTCTCTTTTCTCTCTGCGTAGTCAAGCTCTTGGAAATTTTGAGTTACATTCTTTCAATAATCGGACTTCAATAAAACCAAATTATTGAATGCAAGTTTTGCAAAATTGTATCAATTCCATGGCACAAATTTAATGTATTTCGTTTTCTCTTAGCTAGGGCATTTCTAGGTTATATACTTACCGGCATATCCTGTAGCTTTGTTTATTAATTCTCGAACTCTGAGTGTTTGATTATATCTTTAAGGGCCGAGAAGAGAAATGAGTACAGCAGTGCGAACCCCAAAATCTGGAAGGCAATCATTGTTCTTTCAGGATTTAGCAACGCCTATATCCTCTCGGAAATCAGGGTCAAAATTTAGTACCCCAGGTCAGGCAGCAGCTGTTTCCGCCTTGTGGCGTGAGAACTTTTCCAGCTCAGATCTCCCACCACCACCTGTATTTACCCTTGAAGATCGCTCAGATGTCTCTCCGGAATCTGGGATTCCTGATTATGTTACTTCACCAGAAATCAAGTCGGACCCTAGAACTCCAGTACAAACTTCAGGAAGGGAATTTGCAACTCCTAAGACGAGGTCTGAGGCAAGCACTTCGTATGCATTGATGGGTAAGCAGCAGCAACAGAGTCAGCAAAGCCCCTTGCCGAGTTTGAGCTGGTGGTCACCCTCGAAGGGTAGTGGTAGTGCTGAGCAGGATGACAAAGGAAAAGGTTCACCAGTCGAAGGCGTCATACATCCTGGTGCTTTGATAACTTTACCTCAACCAAGGGAAGTTGCAAGGCCAGAGATCAGGAAGAACTCATTCCCTGTGGGAAACCTCGATGAGGAAGAATGGGTCACAGTTTATGGGTATGGCTTTTGTATTTCATACTTTATTGGCTGTTCTTTCACTTATGTTCATAGTTGTAGGAGGCTTAGGCTAGTATGTAGTAGAATCTTGATGAAAATTCTTTAGTGTGTCTTAAACTCCTTGATGCCACATAATATTCTTTTTGCCTGCTAGCTCCTTTAAGTTACTTCTGGACCTCGTTGTTGCATTTTAAAGTATGCTCGGGAACTTTATCCATTATTATGTTTTCTGTTTCTTTTCCTTGACTTTTTTGTTTTCCTCCTTCACTAGAGTTGTCATTAGTTTCTACTAGGATTAGATGTACCCGTGTCAATTTCCATGGCAAGAATTCTTGAGGATATCATTTGAGGTAGCCTAGTCATTCTAATATTATGTAAAATTCTGCTGGACGGAGATATTTAAATTTTAGCGGATCTGAACTTAAAATTTTTTAAAATTGGACGGTTTCAAATTACATGTTCTCCAATGTTTTTGACTCATTTTCTTGAGTATATCGAGCAGGTGAAAAGGATTTAAGCTGTAAATTTGAAATACATATGCTAATATCCCTTCAACAAATTCTCCATAAAAGACAGAGATATTGATCCAATTGAACAGGGAGAGGGAAATGAAATGTTATTGTCAAATTAACTTGCTCTCATCCTTTCGCATTACATATGTGCTTGAAAAAGAAGAGGAACATTGATCCGTTCTGACTTCTGTTCTCTGTCTCCCTTGGTGTACTGAGGTTATTACAGAACGGTACAAAATGCCCTTATTGGAAAATTTTTTCCTGGTGATATTGAGAAGATTGGGTGTTTAAAGGCTCCATGGATGTAGCTGCAATTTATTCTTTATTTCCTTCTTGTAATGAATTCCCTTCTTCTCACGTCCACCCTGTAAATAAGAGCACTGTATATATCATTTTGGATGGAGAAACAGTTCTGCTCCTCTATCTTGCCTTCCTGTTTATTTTGCATCAAAGATATTTCAAAAAAAGGAGAAAAAGATCTATTTTAGTTGTGTTAGCGGGGTTAATTGCTTGCAAAATACTCTATTTTAGTTGTGTTAGCGGGGTTAATTGCTTGCAAAATACCTATACGGATACAATAAACTTATCTTATCTATGTGTTCCGTTCACTCTCTTTGAGATGCTTTATTGGGACACTAAATTTCTGCACTTTCCACATTTGCTGAGTGTTTCTAGTGTCGATTGTATTCTCATTAATATACTATTCATGACTAGTTGAGATATTTGGGCTTTCTCCCTTTATTTCTATAAACTTAGTACTTGATTGAAGTCAATTTGCTACTTCAATTCTTTGATCACTCGATATTTTTCTAGTCATATTTCCTTTGTTTATATTTACCATGGTGTTCCATTTATTAGTTATTTGACCTTTTGTAAATTATTACATGCAGGTTTTCTCCAATTGACACCAATTTGGTTTTGCGGGAATTTGAGAAATGTGGCGTCATTTTGAAACACATTATAGGCCCCAGAGATGCTAACTGGATGCACATTCTATATCAGGTATTTCTTATACCTATAAACAAGTTATCATGTTAAGATTTTGTTGTTCTTGCATGTTTATTCATGCTGTCTTAAGGGCCTGTTTGGTATTGTATTGCTCTGGGATGAGTGGTGCTGGTATCAGTATTTCTGTTGCTCTGGGATTAGGGCATGTTCCCTATGTCTTTTTCATTATATTGCTAATTTCACCCCTTTCCTTGTAAAATTTAGTCTGTAGTTTTACCCCTTTTCCTATTCTCCGCTTACCTTTCTCTCCGGCTCACTTCTCCTTTCTTCCCCTTCAACTGATGATTGTTATAGTGCTTGTTGCTTTAATTTTTTGTTTGATTCTATGAGTATTTGCGCATCAGTTTTATTCGTTCTGATATAAGTACAATTTATAGCTAATTGCTGTCCGTCCATTTGTAAAATGTTCTGAATTGTGAATGAAAAGAGTGACATAAATCCTTCATCTAGTACCTCTTTACTATAATCTAGAGGTGTTATTACTTTACAATCTTGCGTGATTCTGACCCTGTACCTAGAAACCCCTATGTATTTTTTCCCTTTCCAGAGGTAATTATGCTTACTTTATGTATATGCTTAACTGACAGTGTTCGACTGAGGAACTTGTGTTTCGTAAGTAACCAAGAAAATTTACAAATTTCGTTTGTCATGTTAGTGTCAAGTTCTTCTGTGAATTTCAATGAAGATTGAAGGGCTTCTTTGGTTTTGACTCTTTGCTTCTGCAACTGCAGATTTGCTGTTATGCCAACTATATTTGTTAAAGTAAGAGTGCTATGAACTTTGGTTTTAACTTCTTTTAAAAAGTCGCCTATCTTTGTGTTGGTCTCCGTAGCTATGCTGGGTGCGACCTTACCGGTCGCCGCTCATTGTCTTTGGATTGATTTCTACCTGTGCCATGAAGCCAATAAGTTGTGGCCACTTGCATTTGGCTAAAACATGTCACTTGCAATGCCCATATTGTGTATTCTCTGCAGTATGCACTTTCTTTTTTTTGGGAGCTCCTCACTGTATTAGTTTTTCTCTGTGGGATCTTTTCTCTCTAGTTGATACCAATAACACTAGTCTTCTGGAAAGTAAAGCTTTTCAGTACCATAAAGCTGTGGCTTATTTTCTCTATTTTTGTGGTGCAGAATCGTGCTGATGCTCAGAAAGCTCTTAGCAAAAATGGTATGCAGATAAATGGAGTTCTTATGATCGGAGTTAAACCAGTGGATCCAATACAACGTCAGGCACTGAATTGTAGGCTCAATAAACAGGGATTTGTACCTTTACCACATACTCACTCCAGTAAAAGCAATGATCCGATTCCATTTCAAACCTCCTCTCGTCCTCACTATCTACAAAATGGCAGCAACAGTGCAAAACAAGCATCTGGATCTGTTGCTACCCCAGCCAAATCTGTGGTGTCCAAAATTGTGGACTTAATGTTTGGCGTCTAATCTTCCATGTTTCTATTGTTCTTTCGTGCTTTTGTGTTATTTCTACTCTATAGTGGCAAAATTCAAAGCTCCTTTTCTTGAATACAAATTGACTAGTTCTATGTGATTCTCACTCCCTTCCTCCCCTTCGCCTCTATTCTCTTCTCCGTTTCTCCTCCAAATGCTTGATCATGGTGTATTTGTATCAGCTTGAGCTCCGTAGGGTCATGGGGCTTTGGTATAATGGAGATATAGAAGTTTAAATCTCTCTCTCTCTATCAATGTATTTTATTGAGTGTGAATAGTTGGCATTTTGTGATCGTTTCTCGTGACGTATGATCTTTGGAGCATGACACATCTCTTTTATTGTGTTTCCCAATATTGAGGTCCCATTTTATGTTATCCACGCTCCGATTGTGTCCAAGGCGTTTGGGTGTGTTACAGTGTTACACATAGTTTGACAGATTTCATAAACTCGTGAAATCCTCACCTCATGAGCTAATTTTTGGAACTAAGTTATATCATCGGTCCTTTTTTTTTCTTCTTATCATAAGCATATTACTAGCTTTCCAGATGATGTTTACAACAGTGACTTCTGGAACCAGATTATGCTGTGAACCTAAGGGTGGATTTGTGGTCGTTTCCATTGCCATTGGTTTCTTGATCAAATATGGTTCAACTGGTTCTAACTAGATTCTCACCGCAGCGCAAGGTTTACAACAAAAACATTGTGGAAAATATCTATGCATGTTGCCTATTTCGTTCTTCGCTTCTTGTTGAGATTGTATTGTCATAATAATTCCTTATTGAATACAGAAAGAAGTTAGCTCTAAATAATAACATGAAATTGTTTGTGTCCGACTATTTGTTTGCTAGAAGAGAAAACTTCTGTGCGGTTAGAAATTTGCACGTGATAACCGAATAGAATGTTTCACCGTTTTCCCACAGAAATACTGGAGGGGATCTTAACCCACCAAAAATAAAAAACATAGTAAAAAAGTTAATTTTGTATCCTTTCAATACAACCAAACGGAAATATGAAAGGTCTAAATTGTGCTCATCACTTGTTTTAGATAAATGGTTTGAACAGATAAAAACTAGTAATTTAATGCCAAGAAAAGAGAGTTCTCTTCGTCTTTTAATTAACCGTTACAAGCAAGACCGAGTCAATTAAGAGAAAATCTTAGTGGACCTCCCACGACCCCTCTCCTCTAAGACTATAACTTCCACGTTTCTCACCACGTTTGCATTTTGCAGCTTTCAATTCCCTCTTATTTAATAGCTTCCTAGTAGAACATCCTTAATCACATTACAAAGTGAGAAATTTCCTAATCTTTCAAATTTCCACATCGCTTCACTGCGTTACTTATAGAGTAAAAAGAATCAATTAGAAATATCATAATTCGTTCACAAGAAGGACAAGCATGGCTTCGATCAAGTCTACTACTACCTGTTTCGTCACTGCTCTCTTCATCAGCCTTACAATATCTTCCGTTGTTGCTGCCTCCGGCGAGGAATTCAAAGTTGGTGATGCTGTTGGTTGGCGTCAGCCAAGTGTTAATGAAACAGATCTCTATCAACATTGGGCTTTAAAGAAGAAATTTCACGTCGGCGATTCACTCCGTAAGTCAATCAACTTATATTAATTACTAGTAGTTGTTATTCCGTCAGTGTATACTTACTTATGCATAAAAAAATGCATGCCTAGTAATTCTTTGATTTCTCTCCTTCTTGGTTGATTCCATTTTACGTATGTTCTATATATACTGCTACAACTTTCAAATATGTTCAATGCAATGAGTCATGTTTAACTTAAGTTACATGAAGGCTTTTGCCGTACATGTACGCTGAGTCGAAGTAATGCAGCCATATTTAAAGTGTTCACTGGAATCTAGTAGTTTTCATACTTGAAAAAACATTAAAATTTCAACAATTAGAAATTCCTGAACTTAAAATTTCAAAAGTACAAAGTTTTAATGCTAAAAACTTCTCTGTATGTACATAAGTATTATTTAGTGTGAATAATTTCTAACTATGTAGGCGTTTGGACATAAAAATTGTAATTTTTGAAAAATAAGTAGTATTTGAAGTTAAGTTGAAAAATGGTATTTGAAATTTAAAATTATGTTTGAACATGCATTTCACTTGAGAAAATGTTGTAGTTTTGTGAGTGAGGAGAAAAGTTTTTTCTGAAAATTTTGAAGAAGTAATCATTTTCAAAAATTTGCAAAATTTCATGACAAACATATTTTTGAAAAAAGGAAATATTTTTTATGGACAAATAGGGCCTAATATTTTGAAAATTCTACCTACATATATTTCCCTTTTGATAAATGAAGGATTTATATATGTAACACCGTTTAATCCCCTATGCAGGTTTTGAGTACAAGAATGACTCGGTTGTGGTAGTGGACAAATGGGAATTTTATCACTGCAATAGGACTCATCCAACTTCGGGCGCTAAGGACGGCAGCACCACAGTAAATCTTAACAGGGCTGGCCCTTTCTACTTCGTGAGCGGTGATCCAGAGCATTGCAAAAATGGCCAGCGTTTAGCCATTGAAGTTCTCCCATTATACCCCATCTCCCAATCTCCACCACAACCAATTTCACTGGCGCCGGCACCATCGCCGCTTTCAAGCTCAGCTCTTATTTCTTCAGTTCCGCTGACATTCATTTCAGTGCCGCTTTTGGTTGCTGTTATTGTCTTTGTTTAGAAGATTTAGTCTAATATTCTACTAAGAATATTTAGGGTATTTAGCTAATTATTTCAAGCATTCTTGTGCTTTAGGTTCTAGAATCTGTTGTTCCATTTTTTCAGACTGGATTTATGGCTCATTTGAATTTATTTTGTATGGACATCCCTCGTACTTGATGGGAATTTATATATCTATTTAGTAATTTTTCTAAGTTGCATTTAGGTGATTTCTATTTTATTGAGTTGAGTGGTTCTTTTTGATCACCATCAACTTAACTCACTTATTTTTAAAAAAGCGAGATTTTTTTTTTTTTTTTTTGTAATTGGAACTAAATATTTCCTCTTAAAAAGTTTTTAGTTTTTGTCTTTGTCTGTTGTTCGAAGGTTTGCGAATCAAGTTGCTCGTGCACTAGCGGAATGGTTGATTCTATGTAAGGCTCGGAGAAATGGAATGCTAGCCCTCCATCCCTTATTGTAGATGTTTTAAATTTTGATTTGAATAGTTAAGATGATGGTTGCTTAAAAAAAAAAATTCCCTCTAATTGGAAGCAAAATGAAAAGATTCAGAAGAGGATCAAGATTATCTAATTTTAGTTATTTTTCTTTGGACATCAAATTATCCTATCATCAATAATCAATCACGGATCTTCTTTGATCGTTCATTAACTCATGGTAGCTAATCAACTTCCATCAAAAAATTTATTAACTCCTGATTACTAATCAACCTTCTTCATAGTCGATAAGATCATTTTCTTAATTTCATACTTAAGAGAAAACATAAAAAAAAAAAAAAACTTACGAGGTCCATTTGGTTAAATATTCTCGAGTTGAGTTAGATTGTAAACGGGTGGGAAAGATTTAAAGAAGTAAAAGGGGCAATGTGCAAATCTCGATAACTACAAGGTTAAGATGCAACTTTCAGGAAGTTTCTTTTTAAACTTAAAATTCACCGTATAACACCAACCCCTGCTTCTGCCAAAATTATTGGAATTCTAGAAAATTCCTTCTCACGTGGAGCTTCCAGTGGACGAAGCCTTATCTTCTCCATTTCACTGCTCTAGAAAACCCTAGTCTTTCATTTCCACATTCACCAATTTTACGAGCTAGCTCAGGTACTCTTCCTCAGTCTTCATTCTGTTGCCTTTTTGTAATCCTAATCTGTGATTTTATCTGACTGAGAATAATGCATTCCTTTCTGTTTGAAACTGTGAGTCTGCAACTGAATAGCTTTATCCTCTATTGGTTAAAGATTGCTTATTTTGGACTTAATCTCTGTGGCTTAACTGTTGCTAATGTCATAAAACGAAAGTTTAAATTTTTTGATATTTAGACACAATTAGTTTGTTTAAACTTTGAAGCTAGTTGCATTGCAGTTTCCAAATTAATTCGGCTCTTCTTACTAGTAATTCCATGGAGCAATTTCAAACAACAATAGCTGCGTGTCAATCGCAACTAGTATCCATTACCCTTTATTGGGCTTGTTTTAGTTTAATAATCAATAATTTATCCTTTAAGATAAGGCCATTGTTTTAGCATGATTCCAACTCGCAATGACGTAATCACAAAGCACTTCATAAACTAATACTGGAAAAGTACAGATTGGCAATTCTTTTTCTAGTGTGTAATCCTATTAATAATAGGTTCTAGGAACAGAAAGACTGTCTGATAACAGGGAGGATTTAAAATGTCTGCGACTTTAGTTCGTTAGCTCTCCTTATATATATTTGCTGTCTCCTTGAAGTAGAACACTTAATAGAACATGTAATGATTATTTTATGTGTTACCTTGAAAATATTGCTCTTGGATTGACCATCCAGATGGATGAGGCATATGCACATCATTTGTTGAATTTTTCTTTTGGTAATTTTCTTAAAGATTATGGGCTTATGCTATAGTCGTCTAAAGTTTTGCTGCACAAGTTTTTCTTGAACTTCTCTTTCTACCAAAAAGGGATGGAGCTATCTCTTCAGTTGGGTATTCTAGTTATTTTAAGTTACTGGATTCTAAATTTAGAATTTGTTCAGATTCAATAAATTTCTTAAGACAAATACAGCGTTTGGACCAAAGCTACTGAGTTCGGCCAAACCCATAACGGAAGAGCTTGCTCCGCCCCTGTTACCAAAGGCTCTCCAAAAGAGTATAGATTGAAGTTTTTGCTTTCTTTAGATTTTTGAGTTGATGCCTGTATGATTAGATCCCTTTATGCTTTCGTATTCTATGAACTTCTTTCAACCAATTCCTAGTTGTTAAGCATGCGAAATATGACCCACCGGTATATGAAGTCACAGCATCAATAGTACCTGCATCCTAATTCAAGAATGCGCTTGCGTTTCAGCGTTCATATATTTAATTTTACTCTCTGTGCGTGCGTATTCTTTTTTACATAATGGACAGTTTTTAATACCTTTTGTTTGGCAATGGTGCCCTATGCTGCAGACCTTTTCTGTTGAGTATGGCTGCGACCTTCACTTCAGTTTGTTCGATTGCTTCCACCAGCCAAGCAGTGGATAAGAAACTCATAAATTCTTCTGAAACTTTATCTTCATTCTCTGCAATTTCTTCGAGTTCATTAGGGGGCAGGAGAAAGAATACAGTTTTAAAGAAAAGATATGATTTCAAGATTCAGGCTGCGACCAAGAAGTTACACTTCAATCAGGATGGTGATGCCATTAGGAAGCTGCAAGTAAGCTTGATAGGAAATTTT